TTGTGCTCCTCCGTGATGGTGCCGAGGACGTTCACGCCCTGGAGGATGTTCTCGGAGGACGGCATTGTGAATGGTTGCGGGAAAGATGGATGGGTAGATGGTGGTAATGTGGCGGGAGAGGAAGAGAGAGTGGATGTTGAGAGTTAGAATCTGCCAATGGTGGAGGAATGGCAATGCAAAAGCGACGATGATGAGGAACAGGAGTAATCACAAGGAAACGGGAGAGGCAGGGACAAAGGCGAGGGATGACAGCATTCAAATACAATCTCCAGCCTCGGGTTCTTCTCCATCGCACCTGCCGACTAACGCCCCTCCGGACCGAGTAGCTAGTATCTACGAGTTTCGAACGTTTTGGGGGCGAGAGACGGCTTTGCTCTAGTCCACGAGGTAAGACCAGCGCGTGGTGTTAGTGCTCCACTGCTTTCCCTTGTGCGAAGGAAGGAACGACTGTTACAAAAGCTGGGCGATTGGTCGCTCGGGTGAGAGGGAGAGGTGGTGAGGTAGGGTGGCAAGTGCAGTACAGCTACAAACTACGTCAAGTCAGAGCACGTCGCACCTTCTTTCTCCAAAGAACGACAAGGCAAAAGATGGCAAAAGCCCAAGAGAGCTTGTGAAAGTGTGGGGAAGGCGCGACCCTGATTGGGCAGCTAGTCGGCCGAACTGATAAGTTCCTCGTGCCACAGGCTAGCCCCAAAAGCATGTGCTTTGAAGAAAGAACGACCGGCTTGAGGAACATCACTGATATGCGAAGCTGAGGAGGGCACGATCTACAAGCTTTGGTTTTTTCTTACTACAATATTACTGTGGAAGGCTATTTGTTCGAATTCGACTCTTTCTTGATGCTTCGATTTACTATTATTTCCAATTAAAGAGTGAGAGTTTGCAGAAAAGGGAAGAAAGCATGCGCCCTCGCTCTGACGGAAAAATTTGCCCAATGCAACGGACCGCACTCGCCTATAGCTTTTTTACCCAAACGGGAACACTTGAAGAAAACGGTAAAGGCCGGAATGGCAGGGGCATAGAAAGGAGAGAAACGATGAACGAGGGCATCCACCATCAACGTTGAGACAATGGGAAAATAAGAGAGTGACTGCGTCACAGGCTGCAGCTCTTTCCTATTTGGGTACTATTGCCGGATGCGGTTTAGCTCGAAGTATGTTCTGTGGTAAAGCCGAGACCGCAGTCGCGCTTCCCCAGTAGGGTAAAATCGCAGACCAAAGCATTGTATATCAGGCAGTTGACGGCGAGATTGCTGAGGACGGAAGCTGCGAGTCGACCATTCGTTCTTTTAATCTTTGCCTTTCCTCGTTGATTCTGAATTTCTATTCATTCTTCTCCTCCTCCTCTCAAGTCGCTTCGGCGAAGTGCATTATTGCCGCTCACTGACAGCGCCTGGAAAGCGCGAACTGCCAGTGCGACAGCAGCCCGCCCAATGACAGGCTCCGCTCTGCCGAACTGGTCATTCCTAAGCCGGTGCCGAGGCTTATTAGTGCACCTTCTGCCCGGTAAACTGGGCTGAGGCAAAAGAGAGACGCGCTCAATCAGGCAATGAACGGTTCCGGCCACGAGTGAAACCAATACGACTACGACATACTACGACATACTATTCGTACGACAAAACGATAGACACGGTGGGCTGGGCTACAGCCATGCCAGGCCAAGCCGATCGTTTCCGAGACTACAAAATGACGTTTACGGTGGGTCAAGCTGAAGCTCTACTGCCAGAGTCGAGAAGGCAAGACGAAAGGCCGAAATGAATGCAGAATTGGTCATCTTCCTTCTGTGTGGTTTTGTTCTTGTTGTTGTCGTTGTTGTTGTTCGGTTCTTTTCTGGCCTATCCCAGTATTCTGGGTTTCAGGGGTCGTTGTTTGCGTCTCCCTTTGGTGCATTCCTGTTCAATTGGAGATACATACATCGTTACATGCCATTGCAAGGCGTTGAGATGTCGCGGCAATGTGCCCCGAGTCCTTCTACGCCACCTGACTTTTGTCTAAATTTGTGCTCTCGCTCTTTCTATCCAGAACTTCAGAAAAGGCAAAAACAAAAGGAGCAAGACGGGAGGTTCACCCTTGATCAACTACCTAAGCCTTGTACAGGCTGGGACCGACCATCAGCTCCGGCCGGACGAGCGTGTCGAATTCCTCCTCAGTGAGGGCGTTGAGCTCGAGCGCACTCTGCTTCAGGGTCAGACCCTTCTTGTGCGCGTTCTTGGCGACCTTGCTGGCCATGTCGTAGCCGATCTTGGGGTTCAGGCAGGTGACGAGCATTAGGCTGGAAATGGTGTCAGTAAAAGCGGAAATTCCGGCGAAGTGGAAGGAGAGAAAATGACGGAGACGGGCTCGGCTCTTGGGGAGAATAACTCACGACTCCTTCATAATGTTGTTGATCTTCTCCTCGTTGGCCTGCAGACCGGCGACGAGGTTCTTCTCAAACGAGCGCATACCATCCGACAGCAGGCGGATGCTGTGCAGCACGTTGCGGATGATCAGTGGCTTGTAGACGTTGAGCTCGAACTGGCCGTTCATGCCACCAATGGTCGTCGCCACATGGTTGCCCATGACCTGGGCGCACACCATCGTCAGGGCCTCGCACTGCGTGGGGTTGACCTTGCCGGGCATGATGCTGCTACCGGGCTCGTTCTCCGGCAGGTTCAGCTCGCCGAGACCACAGCGGGGACCGCTGCCCAGGTAGCGGATGTCCTGCGCAATCTTGGACAGCGAGGTGGCCAGGGTGTTGAGGCAGCCCGAAGCCTGCACGAGCGCATCGTGCGCGGCCAGAGCCTCGAACTTGTTGGGTGCCGTCTCGAAGTGGGTGCCGGTCATGGAGCTGACCTCGGCGGCAACGGCCTCGGCGAAGCCCACAAAGGTGTTGATGCCAGTGCCGACAGCCGTGCCGCCCTGGGCCAGCTGGCGCAGAGACGGCAAGGACGACTCGACGCGCTGGATGCCGTAGTCAAGCTGAGCAACGTAGCCGGAGAACTCCTGGGCCAGCGTCAGCGGGGTTGCATCCTGCAGATGTGTGCGACCAATCTTGATGATGCCCTTGGCCTCGAACTCGTCGACCTTGGCCTGCAGCGCAGTGCGCAGGCTGCGGATGGACGGCAGCAGCTCGCCCTCGATCTCAAGCACGGCGGCAATGTGCATAACGGTAGGGAAGGTATCGTTGGACGAGGCACTGCGGTTGACATGGTCGTTGGGGTGCACGGGCTTCTTGCTGCCCATGGTGCCGCCCAGGATCTCGATGGCGCGGTTCGAGATGACCTCGTTGGCGTTCATGTTGGACTGGGTGCCGGAGCCGGTCTGCCAGACGACCAGCGGGAAGTGGTCGAGCAGCTTGAGGTCCGCCACCTCCTTGGCGGCCTGCTGGATGGCCTTGCCAATCTCGGGGTCCAGGCCGTAGTTGATGTTGACGGTGGCGGCGGCGCCCTTGAGGATGCCAAAGGCGCGCACAATTGGGGGCGGCATGCGGTCCTGGGGCTGGTTGATACGGAAGTTCTCGAGCGATCGCTCCGTCTGAGCACCCCAGTACTTGTCCGCAGGGACCTGGATCTCGCCAAAGGCGTCGCTCTCCGTCCGTGTATTCGACATTCTGACAGTGCTTGCGTGGAAGGAACGGGTGAAAGAGCTAAGGAGTTGTTGCGACGAAGCAGGGGATCGGGTCATGCGAGTGAGGTTGTTTTGGGCAGCAGCTGTTAAACATGTGCTGGTAGTCCGAGGCACCGCAGTGCGTAGTAAGCCTCGGGCGAGGCCGGGCGCCGCAATTCGCACTGATCGCAGCATGATTATGGCCGTTTATTTGATCCTGTTTTGGCGTGTCCGTTGGCGCTGTTTGCCTGGGTAACGCGGGAGGGGTCGAATTCCCAAGGGCGAGGGGAAGCAAAGGACGAGCTGCAAGAAAGGAGGGGGAGGAGGAGAAGTGCCACCGTGCTTGGGACACTTGTTTCGTGTCGTTCTTTTGATTTCTCTGGAGAAGGCTTCGTTCGCTTTTGCGTCAATTCACTTTTTTAATTAACGCCTTTTCTCGCTATTCGGGATTAAATTAGCACGGTCGGTGAGAGATAGGAGGGGATCGAAAAAAAGTGCGGGCATAAGCAGTTTTGCTCGTATTATGTCCCACCCGGGGAGTTCGTTTTCCAGCCGTTTGGGGTCTCAAGCTCAGTTTTTTGTATTTGTGAGGTTATTTCCCCACGAAATTTAGGAATTGACGATTTTTATGCCGGGCTCGCGCTCTACGGAAACACACACGGCACATTAGAGAAGGAACGACCAGCAAGAGGGGAAAGGGGCAGCGACCAAGCTTTCCGAACAGGTGAACTACAAAATCCCTTTCTCCAATGGTTTGCACTCAAAACACGGAAGGCACGCTCGCAGGGAAAAAGAGCCACCATCGCCCAACAATCCGTCCAAAAAAAAAAAAAATAGCTCACCCGCCAATGGATGCAGAGCAGCCTTAACACTGTAACTGTCCCGACACCCCCACAAATGCAACCGAAACCACAACCCTCCATATGCCCCTTCAAGCTTGTCTTCCGATCGTTTCCGGCAGGCCAACGCACAATACATGGTCACGTGTACACCCTCCATTCTCTACACCGTTCTTCACCTTGAGGCACCCCTGACCATCGCGGAGATTGGAATACAAACACAAACACAAACATAAATACAAATAAAATAGTATACTGACGAAGACACTAGTTTTTTTTTTTTTTTTTTTTTTTTCTATTTGTTTCAGAGGCATGATCTTGACGTATCTAAGCTATCAAATGGCAACACAAAGTCCACTGAAATGTGAACGGCACCCTGCTTGATTGTTTCCACCTAGTTTTTGCAACATCGATTTCTTAGTTCTTTTCCGCACCCTTTTCCGTTTTCATTATTTTTTCTGAGTTCGCCTTCATGGTACTCTCTGCGCAATAGCCCCCGTTTCCTCGATCGCGTCATGGCCTCGTACATCACCGCCGCCGGCCTAACCTGGAGTGGGTGAACGGTGAAATGCACCTATTACGACCAACCAACAACCGGTACATCGTTGGCATCGTCGTCGCCGGCACCCCAACCGGTGCCACCGACATCGCCATCGGCCGGAGCGTCCCACGAGTCACATGCATCGCCCCCGGCACCCCAACCGTCGTCACCGCCGTCGCCGGCAGTGAACTCCTCGAAGTCCGAGTCAGCCTCGAACTTGAGGTTCTCGCGGGCCTCGCCCTCGGGAATGTACATCTCTAAGAAATCGGGGATTTCCTGTTTGGTCTCAAGGAGAGTGCGCGTAAGGACACTCGCAATGGGCTCGTCCCGGTCGGTGTAGAACGACGTCGCAAGACCGCGGTGACCAATGCGACCAGTACGTCCTGTTTTAGAGATAAAGTCAGATCAATGGACGCTACAAGGAGCGATGAGGGGTGGTGGAACAAGTCGACTTACCAATACGGTGAACGTACTCCTCAATGCCGCCGTGGTCAAGAGTGGGGAGATCGTAGTTGATGACGTGGTTTACATTGTGCACATCGATTCCGCGAGCAGCGACACCGGTAGCAATGAGAATCGGGCACTGACCGCCACGGAACGCACGCATGGCGTCCTCGCGCTCCATCTGGGTGCGGCCAGCATGGATCGAGGTGCAGGGGAGGCCAAGGTTATACAGGAAGTCGTCAAGCTCGTCGGCAGTCAGCTTGCGGTTGACAAATATGATGGTTCTGCCGGGCGGGATGGAGTTGAGAAGCTCAACGGTAGCCTTGCGCTTGTTTGCAGGATCCATGTACGAGATCACCTGCTGGATGTTGCCGTGAGAGCTGCCAGCACGGCCGACACGCAGACGACAGTGATCGTTCGCAAGGTATTCCTTGGCAAGATCCCGCAGACGCTTGGGGAACGTGGCCGAGAACATCATGTACTTGATGTCACCGTCATCTTGGTCTGAAGGAAGGCGTTAGGCAAGCTTTTGTTCTCGAGAACTACATAGGACTGGACATACTTACCACCTGAGAGAATGCGGCTGAGATCCTCAACCCAGTCATCCTGCAGCATCTCATCAGCCTCGTCAAGGACCATGAACTTGACACGACGGAGTGACAGATGGTTAGGGCGGTTCATGATGTCAATGAGACGACCAGGCGTGGCAATGAGAACATCACATCCGCGGCTGAGCTGCTCCAGCTGACCGCGGATCGGACCACCGCCGTAAATTACGCAGGGGCGGAGCATGGTACGGTAGCAGAACTTGCGGGCCTCATTGAAGATCTGAATTCCAAGCTCACGGCTGGGGGCAACAATGACGACCAGCGGCTCAGCACGCGCCGGGGCGTCTAGACCCGGCCGGTAGGTCGCCGGATTGGGGCGAGCAGCGGCAAGCTTCTTTGCCTTTCCCATGAGGTGGTTCAGGATGGGAATGAGGTAGGCGGCCGTCTTGCCGGAACCTGGTTTCAAAGTAAGTTTGTATAAATGAGACAGGTCATGACAACAATGGCGCTACGTACCAGTTTGAGCAATACCCATGACGTCGTGTCCATTGATGATGGCGGGAAGACAGTACATCTGGATGGGAGTTGGCACCTTGTAGCCGGCCAATTCGACGTTGCGACGCATCGCAGGGTGGAGACCAGCCTTGTCAAAGTCGTAGAAAGGAGAAATGCGAGTTTCGCCCTCCTGGGTAACCTTGATCTCAGCAAGTCTATATAGAAGCACGTAATATGGTAAGCGAAACAAAGAAGCAGCAAAGGTAGCTGTAAAGTGTGCCCCTCGGGGGGGAGGAGAGCTAAAAGAGACACAACATTGGTAGTAACTTACGTCGAAAAGTCAATACCAGAACCGGAGCGTTTCTCTGGGTCTCCAAAAAGCTCGCGCTCGAGCTCTTCCGAGGCGGGCCGACGTCGCCTTCCTCGCCGGACCACTCGTAGACTGTAGCGTTGCCGGCCCAGTCGCGGAGGACTTTGGTGGGGTCCTGCTCGGCCTCGTAGTTGTACGGGGTGCTCTCAATCCAGCCAGCGTCTTTGATCTGCTGGCGCTCACCGTCGAAGCCGGGGTAGAGCTCCGGCTTGACGGCAATGTCAAAGCCATGATCCCGAATCTGACCCCCATCGCCACCACCACCATCAAGAGCCACAACCTCGGCTTTCCAACCACTGTCAGCAGGAGTGCCACCCTGGTCAGGGCCTTCGTTCCAGGCAGCGGACATTTTCGGTCTGTATTGTAGGGGAAACAAAACACTGTGATCAATGGATGGGGTTGTTAGTGGCTGTAGAAGTTGTTTCTCATTAGAGTCGCTAACTTACAAGACGGCAAGCAGTAACCTGCAAAGTCGGTACCAAAACTGTGGTATTAGGTTAATGTATCAAATATCGCGTGTAAAGCGGAAAATAATCTGCGACAGATGATCAACCCGTAGAAAGGGTCGAGATACCTCTCCTACCGTGGACGAGGTTGTACAACACAGCGCGTGAATGAAAGTAAGATGCTTGTATGCCGAGCATTTACAGTGCTACCTTAAAGCAGAAAAGAGTTGGGTATGATTGTTGAGGATGTTATGGAAGGAGAAAATGAAACGAAGGTTTCGGAGAAAGACACAAACTTGATGTACAGGTCGCAGTGCAATATATCACGAGTGCATCGGAGACTGGAGAAGGAATCCGGGGGGGTATAACTTACCTCTTGACAATGAAGCTATCCTTCTGAAACTGGAGCCAGAAGTCTCAAAAAATCCACAACGAAACAAATGAAGTCCCAACCTCTACCCGTGGTGAAGCTGACACTGAGGAGAAAGGGAAGAAAGAAAGGGGAAAAGAAGAAGAGTGCCAGGAGGAATGAATAAACACGAAAAGTTTTCATTGGAAGAATAATATTTTCGTGGAAACAGAAGGTGCGAGGAGGTGAATATTGAGAAGGGAAGGAGCGAATGGCAGATGGAAAGAAGGAACGAGCCCGAGAAGGAAGGCGGGACGGGGAGGAGCGAGCCCGGCATCGCGATGGGAGCTCTAGCTAGTGTTTTTGTGCTTCACCGTGTTAAAGGTATTTTTTTGTATAAAGAGGGATTGGTAAAACTAACAATAGCGGTGCTCCTGCCCTGATAAGTCGTTCTTTCTTACGCCAGAAGTCAAACTCCAGTGTGATGTCATTCACTGATTATTGTGCAAGCATTTTTTACAACATCTCGTGAAGCAGAAAAGCAAAAGAACGGTCTCCCATAAAGTCTCGACGCAGCCAAACTTCGCAGTGCTCCATTCCCGAGCGATTCGGTATACAAAATGGAAACGCACAAAAAAAAATGGAAGAGATAGCAAGACACTATGTTTCCACCCAGAAGACAAACAACAAGCGTAATAAACAAACGCGGAACGCCGTGACCCATGCATCCTACACAGCCTCCCAGAGAAACCGAAAAAAAAAAGAAAAAATTACTCGCTCATGACGACTTCGTTAACTAACCGTAACCATCTGGTTATAGTCCTCCATGCCAGCTTGCAGCACATCATCGAGCGTGGCGGCCGCACGCCCAACAGCACCGCCCTCGCGTCGTGCTTCCTCAATACCCCGAACGATCGCTGCCTGCCACCGTTTGGCAAACACACGCTGCCGGTCCTCACGGTCGGCATACATCTCGCTGTCTTCGTCGCGCGGCGCACCAAAGAGGTTGAGGTGGCCAAATGGGTTTAGTGTACTGCTAGACGTGCTGTTGCTCACGCCATCTGGCGTAGGGGCCGACGGCTGCCGCCGGTACAGGCTGTCCCAGTAGGCTTGCGGGTTATAGGGCGCCGGTGTTTCGCGGCGCAGGCCGATCTCCAAGAATTTGGTGAGTGCAGCCAGCTGCCGCGCGAACGAGGCACCTCGCATGGCCTTGGAGCCGCCTGTGCCGCCGCCCTTGACGAGTGTGGCTGTGGATGAACCGGCAAAGGACGTCTTGGGAGCCGAGGACCAGCCCGATGACGAAAAAGACACACTGTTGGCGCCCGTGCTGGAAAAGGTATTGGTCTGCACGGCGGCGACCCAGCCCATCATGGCGCCGAGGCCGTTGAGCGTCTTGAGCCAACCACCCGGGCAAGCCACCAGCTCGTCGCCTGCGACGTCGAGAAGCCACTCCAGGGCACCAAGGGCGTCTTCACGGACTGCCGACGAAAGGTTGGTGATACCGGCGCGGATGTAGAGCAAGATCTTGCCGGCAGCAGGCCGCACGTCGCTGGGAGGGAGGACGCGGAAGAGTTTGAGGAGCTGGGCGCGGACGGGCCCTGCCGGGTCGGAGATGAGCGGAAGCAGTCGGTTGAGCAGCCCGGCAGTGCCAACAGGGTTGCTGTTGCCAGCATTCGCACCTTGTCTGCCGCTGCCTCCACCACTGCCGCTTGACAGCTGGCTGGTTAAGAAAGCCAAAGCATCGCGGCGCTGGTTGTCGGACCTTGACGTGGATGCAAGTGATAAGTTGTGACGGAATTGGACGGCCGGATCCGGTGCCTCTTCGGTTAGAGACTGTTGGTTGACGGTGATGGCTGATTACATTAGTAGTGTCGTTAGAGAGATGGACTGAAATAGAATATCAGGACGAGAATTACTTACACTTTGTCCGGAAGCTTGTGTCGGTAAAGTTCGCTGCCTTGGACTTTGCCTTGCCGACCTTAAGCTTTGGTTTCTAGAAAAGAAAAGATACTGTGTTAGCATCGAAACCCTCTTCGGTCTGGTCTTTTCGTTCCCTTTTGTCTGGTCGCTCTGTGGCGTTCTTCGCCATTCGTAGAAGGTCCAATTTAACTCACTTGAAAGTCCTTCTTCTTCTCCTTCTTCTTTTTCGAGCTTGAGCCCATCTTGACAGCGTTGCACCTTGTATCAGCGGGCGTAGCACATGATGTGAGCACGAAGAATGGCTGTCTTGGGTGATGAAGGTTTGCGACAGTTGAACTTTCAACTTTTTGGCGGTCAAAAGTGGCAGAATCAAATGGGCGACGAGTCAATAGGGATGTGGGGAAGGACTAGGTGGGGTGCGTTGTGATACAGTGTAGCTTCCCTTAGCCGCGGTAGTCTATCCACTAAAACACGGAAGGCACGTTTGGGCAGTCAAGCTGGCGCAATCTCCATACTCCCGTCGATAGACTACACCTGGGACCAACGCCCTTCCGCCTCCTCCGATATCAAGACAACACAGCGACAAGGATGTCTGCAGATATTTCAGTGGGTTTTAAGGTTTTTTAATGTGCAATGCAATGCTTGCAAAGCTACATGCTAACGGCCTCTTCGCGGCAGGGTTCCGGCACCAGCGATGTGCTCGACGAGACGCTCGGGCGTCTCGCAAAGAAGGCCGGCGTCAAGGCCACAATTTTGCTCGACCGCGCGACGGGCTCGATCCTAAAGATGGAGGGCCAGATCTCGTCAATCCAGACTTCGATTGGTCGTGGCAACGGCGGCAGCGGCAGCGGCAGCAATGGCGCCACGAAGGAGAGCAACGGCAGCACAATGGTGACCAGCAGCACGAGCATGGCGGCGGGCGGCGGCTTCGCAGAAGATGCGCTGCTGAGCGGTGCCGGCGGCGACAATGGAGTACCAGCGGATGACACAAAGGGCGCGCGTGAGCTGGCCGGGCTGGTGTGGAACTACGTGAAGACGTCCGGAGACCTAGTGGAGGCCATTGATACGGAGGTGAGAGCGTCGAGACGCAGAGAAAGGTGATCACAGTGGGCCGAATGTGGAAAACTAACCGAGACAGGACGAACTGAAGCTTCTCCGGTTACGAACAAAGAAGCAGGAGCTTGTCATTGTGCCCGACCCGAAATACCTCCTGATTGTGATCCACGACACACCGCCTGCTTAACCCCGTTTGCTATTAAATAGCGTTACGACATGGGCTTAGTACACTGAAGGTACCACGAAGGGAATGAATATGAGGAATCGATAAGAAAGGGCTTCTCACACCGAGACCCCGACTATCGTTTGGCACAACATGAATCTCAAACGGTAGTACGGGCCAAAATTTATGGACACCGAGAAAGTCCAGCTACGAAAGTAACTCAGGGCCACGTTGGGTTGTCTCGCACATACGGTCTCTCATTATCACCAAACCCTACGAGACGAAGAGGCCTTCGTTGCAGTTTGGACATGCGAGCGAATAGGATGCCGAGCCAGGACTCTTTTGATTTCTGCCTTGATGTCTTTTAACAACTCATGAAAAAAAATACTGGGAAGGTGAACGCCGAAATTAAGCGGCCAAAATGCACCGTTGTTGGTGGAGATATATACCCTTTTTGTCATCTGCACATAATATGCAGCCTCAGAAACAGATTTTTACAAGGTTTACTGCTTCGTGGGCTACATATCTTCCATGCTCCTTATCGGACTTGACAAGATACGGCGATTTTTAAAGACGAATATCTCAAAGCACAGTCGCTTGCTCGCCTTCCGTCTGCCTTCTAAATTACTATTTTCTCTCTTTTCGGTGATGGTTCATTTTGAGCTCACCCGTAATTCCGTTCCATGTTCTAGAAAGCAGGGGTAAGCAAATGAAGCCTGCAGTTCGACCGTTATATTGGTCGTGCATATGTACGGCATGCGTCAAAAAGACGCAGGTCATCGGTATCTCGTTTCAGAATCAAACGGTATAAGAGATATAGCTTAGACAAGAAAAGAAAATTTAAGGGTGCGAAAGCATGGGCCAGGAGAGTGGCTTGGCAGGGCAGGATGGCACATTAAAAAGGGGAACGGGCGTCTCATGTCATCTTCTAGAACGCGACAACAAAGTTCACAGTGAAGATTATATTATAATAATACGTCTTTATCGTCTCGGCTGTGTGTCTGGGATTAGTGGGGGTTTCCAAAAGTGATGGAAAATTGAATAACAACGCAGAACATATATTACTTTGCCGTCTGGTATGTGCCGTTGGCTAGATTTGTTTATGCAACCCGAAATGAGTAATGAAACGACGCTGAACTGACTGCCAAAAGGACCAAAACGTAAATACACGGTGGTAAAGTAAACAAAATAAATGTGTATGATGCTAAGTTCTAAGTAGAACTGTATACTTGTGTCGTCAGTTCCATTAAAGCTCGGTAGATGGCCCTGTAGTAAATTCCTCCAACAATGGAGATCAGATGCCAGTGCAATCAATCGGAGCTGGCCAGCCCTGGGTTATCTGGCCAGCCCTTGTCTCATATGCCGAAGCCAATGACGGCACTGGATTCCGGATTGCAGGGTTTGGTTTCGACGATAAGTTTGGTAGGGATTATGGACAGGGAGTCTAGTCATTCAGCCTTCTTAAGTTCTCAAACAAGGCCTTGCCTGTGGAAATCTTTTGAGCGATTGGAGTTTGTTCAAGAGAGAGATAGAAGACGAATGATACTCAAGGGAAGTCTGACTTTAGCTGGAAACGGAAAGGAACGACGTCGGGGAAGAGAAAAAGAAAAAGAAGAAAATCGAACAAGCTGTCGTTGAAGAGTCTGACTATCCCAAGCAGAAGACGGGCCGTCGCCGGGCTGGCCCTGTTTTTGTGTGCTAGTTTGATGCAATCTTTGTTGCTTTTGTGGGAATGGAAAATAGAAAAACGGCGAGACCACGGCATGAGTCAGGGGGGATCCAGCGTGTCATATGCAAGCCATTGTTGTCGAAACGAGCACGTCAGTGGACTGGACAAAGGAAAGAAAAACAGCACAAAAAACCAGGCACGGGGAAAGTAAAAAGAAAAGAGAGAGAAATAAAAGAACTAGCAAATAATGTCACCATTTACTATCATTCACCGTTCAGCCTTTACACAGCACACCGCCGGGATACAATTTCCTGGGCCTTTTCCGTGCCTCTAGCGTTTTTATCATGCCCCTATGCTCTGATGAGCCGCAGCCTGGGTGGGCTCGAAACAGTTGACGATCGACGGCGTACATCTTTCGCAAAAACGAAAATTGGGCAAAATGAGACTCGAAATGACGAAAACGAAATGGCGCGTGTCTAGACCACACGGTGTGGGATGGTGTTTAACGTTGTATTGCAACTGTGTTCCCTTTTATTGACTTCGATCTTGTTTTCATCCTGCTAAGGACCTCTACGTCGTATTAAATATGATCTCTATGCTTTGCTGTCCCCCTTCTGCCTCCCATTATGGATCCCAGGAGCACTAAGGAAGACAATGCTGGAAAATATTGTAAAAAGCCAAGCCCGAAGGAACACATGAGGAACCGTAGCGTATTGTGAATACGTTGTATTTTCTCAACGACCCCAGTTCCAGTATCGTGCTCACTCTAGGTCATCACGTAGCAGAAAGGAAGGAAAGAAAGATTAGATGCAATATAGGAAAATGCCCATAGGCGGCTGGTGATATGCGAAATTTGGCAGCCTCTATACACTTATAATGCATACAATTCCCCATCTATATTGTTCGAACTGCTATTGCATCGATACTGGTCTGTTTTTACGCGCGACATGCCTGCACAACGTTTGAAGTACGAGTACGTCCTATATGTAGCCAAATAAGACCACCGTCAGAGACGGAAGAAAAGAGCAGAGCCAGAAAGAGGACAAGGTAAAACAACGTAGATGGCCCAAAAACACAATACAATTCGCCCGGCAATGCTCCACGCGTGACAAGGAATCGATCTGACACGGCCGTCGTCCCCCGGATCCTCAACGCGCCCTTGTCTGGCTTTCTGCCTGTCCATCCTGGGCGCTCTGTCTTGACGAAGGTGTGGTCTTGTCCGGTTTCCCTGGGAGCGTGGCTTCTTCTCGTTCTGCCTTTTTGTATTGTCTTTTTACCTTTCTTCCTTTTTCTCCTTTTCTTTCAATTGGTTTTGCTGTTTCTTTCTGCTCCCTTTTGTTCCTCGCATCTACCCACACATCGATCGTCGCATCATCGCAACACCGCCCCCCACAAGACGAGTAGGTGGTCTGGCCGACGACGACAGAACCACTCCTCACCATTGTTTCCACTGTTTGTTACGAGACAATCCGCCTCTACTCCTACTTAAGATCCCAGTTTATCGAACCTTTTCCTCTTCTGCTCATCGTATCCTGCTCTGATGACGCATCCGGCCACTCGACGGCCGATGGTGAAACCCAGCAGCTCCACTTACATCACCATTGCCACTTCTGCTTCGTCCAGAGAGTGACGGGTGGCAGCGACTGGGTGGACAACAAAACATCAAAAAGTAAGTCGCAGAGGATTAAAAGACATAACCTGTCTATTTTTTCACACGACCCGATGCCGTCTTTATCTATCCTCAAGCGCTCCGGCCGCGATGCACCGCCGTGGTCGCTACGATCATGGAACAATCCAAGCGATAACATCATCGAGACACCCGAAGCAACGACAACAAGAGAGGAAATCATGCCGGTATCATCAAGGAGTTGTGCCGGGTCGCCCACTGCCGACAACATATTTGGCAGCAACAGTCGTAGCTATGAAAATAACGGCACCGATTTGCAGGGCGTGTCCATACCAGGGCCCATGACAACGACAATATCACCTTTTTCACCAACGAACAAAGACCGCCGTGATTCCAAGCGCGACCTCTTGCACGGCCTCATCAGTCGGTCCATTCGCGGTGCTGGCCGCGCGTTGTCGACGTCCAGCCCGCCGTCTCCGCCCTCATCGCAGTCTGCTTCAACAACATCGCTGTCTCCATTGTCGTCGTCCGTAGGATTCCCCACGTCGACGACAGCCACGGCATCCACTGCGCCCTCTCTATTTGCATCTCCGCCGCAGACGTCATCGCCGTCGTCGTTTCACGCACGAAAGCCAAGAACGGCTGTGCCGGCTCCACAAAAGCTGTTTCGCCCACGGCCGCGCCAGTCATCAGCTGCACCTGCGTATTCGGGTGCATCGGCATCTAGCAAGACGGTAAGAGCCTTTTTTGTGCCACCTTTTTTTAACTCGTTCCGTATTTCGCTTCTCGTTCGCTCGCGTTTCTTCGTTCCTTCCCTCCAAGCACGGGCCCGCCCGCCTGCCACCGTCACTAGGCTTGTCTACCAAGAAGGCAAGAAAGTTTTTGTCGTCGCAGGTGACACTTTCCCAATTAGTGCATATTGGTGTTTTCTCATCAGCACAGCAAAAGGCAGGAGCCTCTCAACTGTCTGCTCCGTTCCTTCAAATTTTGCTGGCGCATGGCCTACTGGCACCAGCAGGAAAGAAGAAAGAGGCAAGAAGCAGTGGCGAATGGGCTGGTTCCTGTTCCTGGCCGCGTGACCAGTTGATCGTACCAGTTGCCGCTGCAGCGAGGGCGGGGAAACGGCCCAGAACAGGACTGGGTCAGTGACACAGGGCCGCGCTTGCCCACTGCCTGTCTTGTTCACTTGTCAGTTGCCAATTGCGGTCGACGATCTCACACCAGAACAAAAGTCCCCTTCTTGCGCGACGTTACGAGTTTTGCCATTGCGCTTTCCCTTGTTGCGATCACCGTACCTTCATATGACTCGCTCTTGCCTCCGAATGCCCTAATCCCGCTCCCTTGCTCATTTCTAATCATCTCCGGCATCGCCTGCCGTAAAAGAACACTCCTTTCACCTCCGCCTCATTTCTCAAAGAAAAGTGTCTTACAATTACAGAGTACACGCTTTGCTTTCCTGCCCCGTCTCGATCAATTGCTTATTCCCTATCCCCAACTGCGGTTTCTTTGCTGTTCTCTGAAACTCTAGTCGAGCGGAGCGCCTCGACGCTCCACCGATCGTGCTGCTGCCCTCTTACAAAGCTTCGTTTCCGACAACATCTTTGCTAACTACCGATCTTCTGCTGGTCCCGCCGCGTGCATTCGTGGGCTTTTTCTCGATTTTGTGCTTTTCTCAACTTTAGAAAAAGACAGCCTTGCAGTCCACATCTCCCAAGCTTCGTCCTCGAGCAGCCACCTCAGTAGACACAGCTCCATTCTTGCCTGACCCTTCGCGATCGATCTTCGTCAACGCCAACAAACCCCTGCCCTCTCGGCCGCCGCCCGGCAGCGAACAAGACGTCGGGCCGCCGGCCAAACCCGTGCTCAAGCTCGACCGCATCATGGCATCCCTCACTGACGATGACGTCGAGAAGCTCTTCTCCGGCGCCCCGCAGTACTTTGCCCGCTCCGAGGGCCACTTTACTGGTGCGCCCCACCCCAGCGTCGCATACCCATGGGACGAATCGCTCGGCATCCGCGACCTGACGGATCACGTCCAGATTGAAGACGCCGCCTGGGGCAATGTCACCGCATGGCCTCACATCACCCGCCGCTGCAGCAGCAGCAGCGTGGCCGCCAGCATCAGCAGCATCGGCGCCGATCCGGCCGAAAAAGCCGGTGCGGCATCTTCTGCTGCAGGGGGCAGACCGCCCACACAGCCCAGCAGTAGCACCGACAACCCCAAGAAACGCAGCCACTTCTACCCACGATGCCGCGAACGGCCCAGTATGCTCAGCATACAGGGCCTCGAAAAAGGAACCGTTGGCTACGAAGCTGCCCTAGAGCTGTCGGTGGCAGATGGTCTACAAGAAGAGCAGTTTGGGTTTGACAACCTGGGTAACCGCCCCAATGCTGTCATCGAAGCCCGTAAGAAACTCATGGACCCAATTGCGGCGTCCGCGGCTGGACAGGCAGCCGGAAAGGGCACCCAGGTTGACTCGACCGACCCCCTCGACGACAATGCCAACGGCGTCAAGCACGTTGGCGAAACCCAGATCCTCGAAGAGCTCATCAAAAACGGCCGCCGATATGTCGACGGCACCTTTTACGTCCCAAACCAGAGCAAGCAGTTTTACAACGAGCTCTTCCACCACATCCTGCGTGCACCTCCTAAGCGGCCACGGTCATCTAGTGGTCACCACAAGCGCTCAGGTAGTGGGGACCTTGATGCCGACCTGATCCCCCAAATCGAGGCTCTGCTCGACGTCCTTGCAACCCCCAACGTCTGGATCGATTTTTCGCACGTTGAATGGCGCCTGCGTCTTGGCCAGGTCCTGTGGGCCTCATCGCCCCAAGACGAGTTCGATCCTGGTGTCGGCTATGCGCAGCAGGACGGTGCCAATCCGACTGACGCCGCGCCGACACCGACGCCGCGCCCCGCGACATGCGACGAACGCTATACCGAACGCTACTGGTTGTTACTCCAAATCCTGCTTGCCACCGAGCTCCTACTGCGCCTAGACGCCATCACCGACGGCGACGAGTACGGCCTAGAGTACGTCCACCCGTCCGAAGTGCATCGCTTTGAAAAGGTCGCCAATCCGTCCGTGCGGTGGTCGCTGATGCTGGCCCGTGCGTGGCTGGAGAATATTGAGGTTGTGCGCGTCGACGAAGAGGAGAAGGAGGAAGTGGCGACGGCGGCTGTGGCGACGACCGAGAAGGAGAAAGAGAAGCCAGCCGTGCCCGACCGGCCTAGCAGCAGATCAAGCAGCATCAGCGCACGACGCAGCAAGCGCGAATCAGGCAAGCGGCACACACTTGGCTGGATTACCACATTGACGAAGAAGCTGTCGCTCATCGAGGACCACCTACACACATCCAAGGCTCCAGAAAAGAAGCACGTCTACGCCATGCGGGCCAAGAACGCCACGCGCCAATACCGTGGTGTCGCCCATTTTGCCCAGGAGCTCAAGTGGCCCAACGATCTGATCGGGCTCATGTCACAGAGAGCCCTTGATGCGGACCGCATTCGGGAGCCGTTGAACAACAAAATCACCGATCCACCGACACCCCGGACTAGCTCATCCACAGTGTCTTCAACATCACCATGTGCACCTCAACCGTCGGCAGGCGACAAGGGAAACCTTACGTTTAGCAGAGTGTTGCCGCGGCGGCGCAAAGTTGTGGCCGCCTTGCATCCGGGCGGCTGGCTCTCGAGGAGCTACCTGTCCGGCCTCATACTACCTGGTGACAGCCTTTGTAACCTGCTCATGTCGACCCTTCTCGAAGGCGACGACGAGGCGCTCAAGACACTCGGTCCCGTCGCCCACCTTGGTGCCGGTTTCGTGTATGGCGGTAAGAGCTTCTGGAGCACGGCGTGCATTGTGGGCCGCGTCCTCTCAGCCGGTGCCGGTGCCGCTGAGTGTATGGGATGGGTGTCGTCTGACGTCCTGCCACACAACCTCGGTGAAGGTTGGGTCAACATTGACGTCGACGATGTGGCTGAAGACATGCGAAAAGTCAACCGTCGCGCTCGCCTTTGGGGCAAGACCGCCATTGAGCGGGAGTCATCCGTGCTCGGCGATGCAGAACCTGAATCTGTCCTGCCCGCCGACTTTGTCATTCCCTACGAGGCCGTCTACAAACAGGTCCCACCCAAAAACACGCGGGTTGACCTTCAGCGCTTCCAGCTGTACACCGCGCAGGACCCCAACCGCCCGCCGAAGAAAGCCGGCGATGGTAGCATCGAGCCGGCTGATCGGGCTGCCGAAGGTGATACCGAAACGCCCAAGGGTCGGGTTGGACCTTACGCAGCCGAAGCCTCGTTTGTCGTCTCCAGCGATGGTGGCCCGGGGCGCATTCTAAAGTACAACCTATCCTACGACATCTACTTTGTTACTGCGCACCCGTGCGTGCCCTCGCAACGCGTCAAGGTCGTCAAATCGCCATCCAGCCCGACCATCCAGCAAATTGATGTGACGGGCGACGGCGCTGCCGCTCGCTCGAGCACGATTCACACCGTTGGCCATCCTCTGCATAAGTTCTACAAGTACGCGTCGATTCACCTCACGACCCTCATTGACCACCCGACCAAGAGTCTCGAGCAGCTGCTTAAGGAGTATGCGGCGACGCCCAGCTACCAGCCGGCCTCGCCCACTGCTACCTCCTCGTCGCCACTGTCGGACAATGCTGTGCTCGTCATCGATTGCATCACGGGCTTTCTTCCGCAGCCTGCGGCCCACGAGATGCCCATGTCGCCTGTCGTCGACCGTAAGCACAGCGTGTTCAGCTTTGATGGTGCTTCTTCGAGCATCTCGTCGTTCCCGCCCTTGACCAAGGAGATCTCGCCGATCGTCGCACTGTCACCGGCTGCGCCCAACTTGCCCAATGACATCCCAGAATCGTCAACATCGCAGCAGCCGCACATTGCCAGTTGCGTCGCCCTGCCTTCGGCCACTCCGTCGTCGTCAATGTTGCCGGCACCGTCGCCCGCTCCCCGCACAGTCCACCCGACGGACCCGGCTGCTTCCAAGATGCACCACGAGACACGGCGCCGTCGCTTCGGGTCAGACATGGAGATGCTCGTGCGGGCACTGTGTGCTGAGCGGGGCTGGAACGCTCTGGTCAGCCGGCGGCGGCGAGGCTGCCTGGCGTGTGCGATCCGCGAGGCGGGTGCTCTCGGCTGGCGTGTCGTGATCCGTGTTGACTAGATGTAGACCAATCCTTTTCTTGTATGTATTTACACCAGGTGTATAAATTCTTCTGTTACATTTTGTGAGCGGTTTATGTATATATATCCCTGTCTTTCCTGTTCAAACACATCACATGGTCAAAATATAACGGTAGTGTTAAAAGAATTCATGAAACAAAAAATGCAAAACCTTTACATATCGACATACATGACATGTTTGAAATAAAGTCAAACGGAGTACAAGGCTTGTGTATGGCTCTCTATTGTATTGCTATGCTGTAAAATTTAATGTTGTGTTATAATATGCTGTCAATTTAAAATATACAAGATGGGTGGGAGTTACATGTTTGTAGTTCCTCTCTATTGCGCTCTACTACCTCGACATAGATCGTTGATTGCCGCGACCGCCGCCCAGGATGACAACCGAAAAGAATGGGAAGCAAGGCAAGAGCGGAAGCACCGCTAGAAGCGAGTTCAAATAGCGAATGCAAAGAGAAGGATGGCAGCGAGGGCGAGGGCGAATGCGGTCATACCCGCGATAGAGACCAGGAGGAACAGCAGGGCAATGACTAAATTCAACCAGTCCAAGGGCCGGTCGTTGCTGGGGGCGCCGCATGGTTGTACTCCTACAACTCGTAGCCCACAGCACTGGCCTTCCACCCGTTGTGTTCGCCCGGGAGCTGAGCCTTCTCGTACTCGGCCCGCGACACATTGCGCCACTCCTCGACGGGGATCCAGCCAATGTAGGCCCGGTCACCGAAGCCGCCAATCCAGTACACTTGCGTCACCACCAGGCGCAGCCACTCCGACTGGTGGACACGGCTGCCGGGCAGCCAGTACTTCGCGTCGGGATGCGAGGCGACGAAGCATTTCGCCAAGGCCGAGTAGGGAGCGTCCTGGCCGGTGATGGGTTCGAGGTAGCCGATGAGCGAGAAGCGGGGAAGGGCGGCGACTGAGGGAGGAAAGCGCTGGACCTTGGCCACGCCCTCCGACTCGTCCTTGTCATTGCCATAGCCAAACAGCTTCTGGATGCCGCTCACAAGAGACACGCGGGCCGGGCTCGGCGGGTGCGGAGGCTCCCACTGCAGGGCAAGGCTGACGTTGGAACCGGCACGGGCGTTCTTGAATGTAGTGGCGATGCTGATGGCCAGCAAGGTCGGGTTACCGGCGTTCTCGCTGTCGCTTCCGTCCTCGTTGCCTTCTTCGCAGGCCGCCAGGTACTCCGGAAGGCCGACAGGGACGCCGCCAAGACCGGCCGGACGGTTCTCCCATATGTGGAAAGCCGGAGGAGCGGAGCTGCCACCGACAGCAGCGTCATGAGGGAAAACAGTAGAGATAGTACCGAGAGTGGTCAGCGACAGGATGCGGCGGGCCAGGACAGCAGACTCGTACGACGTGGGGATAGTAAACTGCGGATGTGAAGGCGGCGCGGCGGCATCGTCATTGCCATCACCGTGTCGAGAGTAGAGGAAGCCGCCCTTGGCATGGCCGTTGTCGGCAAATAGGTTGACCTTGTTGTCAATGGGCACCAGATGCGGTTCGATGACGGCCGAGGCAGCGGCGCCAGTAGCCAGTAGAGCGGGTGCCCAGAACTTCATATCCGCGAGGCTGAGCGAGTGGGAATTGCACAGGTAGTATTAGGAGCGGCAAAGAGAGAGACAAGGACCTAGGTAAGCGGCAGGGAAGAAAATCTCATGAGGTTAGAAGAAGAAAAAAATCGGACCTGCGGAACAGAGGCAGAGGGAGAAGCAAGGCAGAAGTCAGACGATGGAAAGTAGGGAGAATCAGGTTATGGAAGGGGCCACCACTTTGCTGACATGCAACGGTGCTTCTTCCCTGCGGACAGCAGGAGCAAGCGAGCGGAAAGAGAAGAGAAAAATAGGAAGTTGCGTCCCTTGATCACAACAGGTCACTGTGTAGGAAGGAGCGTTGGGCGTGTTGATCTTTGTGTTACGAAAAGAGGAGGAACAAGCAAGTGCGATGCGCGAGTGGTACTAGAGGAAGCACAAACAGTGAGGGGGGCAGTTTGCATGGCCTGGCGCAGGGTCCCGTCTTAGAGGCACATGGCACTCTGTATTTAGCGAGTCTAATAGCAGCCTAGTGGTAGCTCTAGTGGTAGCTGTCCCAGGCCTGCACGAGATGTGGCCGACAAGGAATCAGAGGATGTGAAGCCGACCAACGGACAACTTCGGATAGCACTGAGGAGCTGCCCTCGGCTCAGTTTGAGCTACTTTGCCTTCTTTCTTTTGCTGCCTTGTCCCATCCTCGATCTTGCTTGATTTTGGTAGACAGGCCGCAAATGTCGGGGGTGGCAGCCAGCTGCTTCTGCCAAACAGAGCACGGAATACTATCGTCACTTTTGATTCTCCAACATATTTTGTACTTGTTGAGGCTTTTGATTTCGTTCCCTCGCCCTTTCGAGTAAGAGCTCGCCCTCTCTTTGTTCACTCGACCTCAATTCGTCTTTCGTCGGTCTCGGCCTTTCTCATCGCTCCATCCCACTCCGTTCGTCATACGAACCAGAAGAGCTTTCGGTTCCGTCTTAGTCAATAAGCCTCCCTTTTGCTGAACTCGTTCGTCATGCCACTGTACTGCTTTTAGACTCGTTCATTCCTCTTTTTGGCGTTTTCTCGTCCCGTGTGTATGTGAACTTCGCTCTCTTCGCATGGTCCATACGGGTGCCAACCCGTTTAGCTCTGAGTCGCCACAGAAGACATCTCCACCTCGTGTTCTTGGCTGCAGGCGCATCTTATCAATCAAGGATCAGTACAAAGTACTTACTGGTGGTCCAACGCGGGTAACCGACAGCCGTTGAATTCCATTTTCGAAGATACCTGTACAGAGGATTCTAGCTGCCGGTATGAAAAAACGACGCAGGTCAGAAGAAATCACGGAATTTGTTACACTCGTATGGCGAAATACGATTTGTACTGGTGATTTGGCTTTCAAAGTGGCAAGTTAAGAGTGCCCTGTACAGCCAAACGCGTAAGTCGTTCGTCTCTGTACGAGTGCAGTGATCTCCCTCTGTCACGGAATTCATGTGGCCATACATGGGCATTTAATAGTGCATAGATATGTCAATCCATCAAGGCGGCAACCTTTGTGGCTGTGGCAAGAACGCAAGATTTGTATAGTGACCACGACTCTCAGCTTCTCATCATGAACCGTTGGGGCATCTTGTGTAAGAGTTTACATTCAAGTACATACGTCGATCCTTTCGCTCTCCATGTGGCATTCTCTACGCCGACCGTCTCAAAGTAGAACGATATTCAGGGAGAGAACAAAGCGTGTGCTCCTCTTCGAGAAAGCTGTAAAATATGTGCCACAGCTGTAAAACATACCGAACAGTTTGCCGCCGAATTCTACGAAAGCCGATGCCAACAAGGCGTGCCAGTTGTCTTCCGTGAAGCATTACACCGTCAACGTCATTTTGACGCTGTGTGACCCAACGACGCCGGTTAATGACAGCCAGGGATCACGAGTAGCACAATACGACGGCCGTCCAAGTCAGAGCTCTTGATGAGTACCACAGAGACAGACAGACACACACAAAAGTCACTGATTTCTCAAGACAAAGGAACCTGCAATACATGAGCATGCAAATGTTACGTAAATGCCAAGAAAGGGTTGAAAAAGCAAGAGAGCACCGACGGAGCACCGACGGAGCACCGACGTGTCTCGAGAAGAGTGGCAAAGAAACTCTCAAAGTCTTGCCGTTGTCGACTTTGAGTGTGTTGACTATTGCTGCAGCATACTTGCTAGGGAATTGCTCAGCATTGTCAATCCAAACATGGTAAAAGTGAAGCAACTTTGTGTGATGCAAAAGACATACGACGTTCAGTGACTTTGTGCCCTAACTTGTAGCCAGGTGGTTACCGAGCTCTAGAGCTGTTAGTGGGCGGTTGGTGGGCGTAGCACGTGCCAGCTCATTGGGGGGGGGGGTTCTCGGCGCTGTAAAATAGCACTGAGCCACCCCAAAGCTCGTCGGTGGGTGTTGTGGAGAATGAGAGTGGCGGGAGCCAATAGCGTGAGCTGTCCTCATTGACATCGACGCATTCCCACCACCTTCAACTTCCCACCACCATATTATCACCACCTCATCGGCCACCAGCTCTCCTCTATCAGCACAACGAGCCACGTGTAAAGAGCTGCACCCAAGCCGCCGGTCACAAACAAGGCTGCACTGCACGCCTCCAGTTCAGCTGCCTAACACACTCGACGCCAATAACACGACCGCGCCGGCGACTTGCAAAAACAACAATCCATCCTCCCCCCTCTTGATTCGAATTGCGACTACGTCTCCATCCCTACTTTCGATTCCGCAACGCGCCCGACCATCAGAACGGACCATCCCTGGTGCTGTAGCTTCGAGGCGCAAAGACTCGAGCACGCAGCAGTGCGCACCGTCCGGGCGAGCCCCTTCCTTTCGGCCTCCACATCTCCCACCTCCATCTCTCCGCCCTCCCACACCTCCCACGCCTTCCACAATGGCCTCGCTGCGGGACAAACAGATTTCGGCGCTCAAGCGCATGCTGAACCTCAACGATCCGGGCGCCGATGCCAGCGACGAGCCCAACCACAGCCACAACTCGCACCAGGCCCAGCAACAGCAGCTCGGTGTGCTTGGGCCCGACGGCGAGCTCATCTGGAAGGTCCTTGTCTTTGACGACCTCGGCATGCAGATTGTCAGCAGCGTCCTGCGCGTCAGCGACCTGCGCGCTCTGGGTGTCACCATGCACATGCACCTATCGGCCAACCGACACCGGATCGAGGACGTGCCCGTCATCTACCTGGTCGAGCCGACGACTGCCAACCTCAAGGCCATCACGGGCGACCTGGAAAAGGACCTCTACTCACCTGCCTACATCAACTTTTTGTCGTCCATACCACGGCCGCTTCTTGAGGACTTTGCCTCCGAGACCGTGGTCAACGGCACGCAACAGCATGTGAGCTGGCCTTGCCGACAAAGCGCAAAATGACGCATGCCGCACAACATTGCAATCCAGCTGACACTTTTCCTTCTAGATCGCCCAATTGTACGACCAATACCTCAACTTCATCTGTGCCGACAACGACCTCTTCAGTCTCGGCATGCAAAACGACCACACATACTGGGCCCTCAACTCGGGCCAGATCAAGGACGAGCAGCTCGACCATGTCCTCAACAAGATCGTCAGCGGGTGAGCAGATGGTCTTGCATTCTCGAAACGCAGTGCGCTGAACGGCATACTAACCTACCTCGTCTCGCTCTCTCTAGCTTGTTTAGTGTCGTTGTGACAATGGGTAGGCTCTGCCTTTTGCCTTTTTATTTGCCCAAAACCACGGCTCGACTAGTTGACTAACTCCAAACAGGCGTCATTCCCATCATCCGCTGTCCCAAAGGCATGGCGGCCGAGATCATTGCGACTAAGCTCGACCGCAAGCTGCGCGACCACCTCCTGAGCTCCAAGGACAACATGTTTGCCAGCGGTGGCCGGCCCACCTCGTCCGCCGGCGTACCCGTGTCACGGCCAGTGCTGATCATTCTCGACCGCAACATCGACCTGACGACCATGCTGTCGCACTCCTGGACGTACCAGAGCTTGGTGCACGACGTCTTGGGCATGAAGCTCAACCGCGTCACCATTGAGACGCCCGTCGACGAAAAGAACCCCGCCAAGGGCACCACCAAGAAGACCTACGACATCAACGCCTCCGACTTCTTCTGGAACAAGAACGCGCCCCTGCCCTTCCCGCAGGTGGCCGAAGACATCGACGCCGAGCTCAGCCGGTACAAGCAAGACACAAACGAGATCACGCGCAAGACCGGCGCGTCGTCCTTTGAGGACCTGCAGAACGACACGAGCGCCAGCGCACAGCACCTCAAGGCCGCCATAACGCTGCTGCCCGAGCTGCGCGAGCGGAAAGCGGTCCTGGACATCCACATGAACATCCTGGCCGCCCTCCTGACTGGCATTAAGGACCGCCAGCTCGACAACTTCTTCCAGATCGAGGAGAACATCGCCAAACAGACCAAGGCCCAGGTTCTCGAGCTGCTCAGCGACGCCGCCAAAGGCACCAACCCGGCCGACAAGCTGCGCCTCTTCATCATCTGGTTCCTGACCACCGAGCAAGACGTCAGCCGCGCCGAGTGGCCGCAGTTTGAGGACGCCCTCAAAACCGCCGGCGCCGACATCACCTCGCTCGGCTACATCCGCCAGGTGCGCGCCACCACCAAGATGACCCAGCTCACCACCGTCCACAGCACGCCGCAGCAGCAGACCGCCGCCTCCACCGACCTCTTTGGCCGCTTCTCGTCCATCTCGTCCCGCCTCACCGACCGCCTCAAGGAGACGGGCGTGCCCTCCAACCTGTCTGCCAACCTCGAGTCCATTGTCGGCTCCATCAAGAACTTTTTGCCCGCCAACCGCGACCTGACTGTTACCAGCATTGTCGGCTCCATCATGGACCCGGGCACCTCCAACAGCTCCGCCATCATGAAGACCGAGAGCTATCTCTACTTTGACCCCCGCAACTCCCACGCTCGCGGCACGATGCCCCCGCCGTCCATGGCCCGTGGTGGCGGGGGCAGCCACCTCGGCGTCGACGGTGGCGACGGTTCTGGCTCGTTGGGTGGTGGCGCTGGCTCCGGCATGCCCGGCGCCGGCGGCGGCCTGGGCGGCAGCCAAAACCCAGGCATAAGCGCGTCCTTTGGCCAGCGGCGGCAAGGCTTCAGCGATGCCATTGTTTTTGTCGTCGGCGGCGGCAGCATCAACGAGTACGGCAACCTGCAAGAGTGGGTGCACCGGACAGGTGGCGGCAATGACCGAGCCAAGCGGCGGGTGGTCTACGGCGCGACGGAGCTGATGAATGCCGACGAGTTCTGCCAAGGGGAGCTGGATCGTCTGGGACGCGAGACAACAACATGAGGTGCTGCAGACGTGCAGGGGGTTTCCGGTGTGGAGATGGGGGTTAATATGTTTTCGGACGACAACCTACAATGACTGCATTTTATTTATTCGGGCCACGCCCTCATTGCAGTAATATATATAATACAAAATGTGAATTTAGAATATGCGAGTTAAGACTACAGAAAATGATGATTGTTATGAAAATGAATTGCCGTCTCCGGGACTATCGGTCATGGGTATCATTCTATCTAGTTGGTGTCCGTGCCTCGTCTGCAGAGCTTCCTCTTCTCTCTACATAAAAAGAGAGGCCGTCCGCCGTATGCGCTAACCGGCCTGGTGTCTCGAGATCTACCGAACAGCAAAGCGATGCCGCTATAAACGCTGTCGTGGCAGAATATGACAGGAACATCAAGTGTCCTTCATCCGCGTGATGACTGCTATTGCAAAACGTCGCCGGCCCGGTCAGGATCAGACTCAGGAAGCAGAGGGTCGCCGACCGTCCTCGGTCAAACTACAAGTCTTGTTTTCCGTCATTCGTTTGTCCCCTCTCATGTCGCCCGCGATCCCCTGCTGTATGGATGGCTACGGCCGCGAGCGTCGCTAGACGGAGAATCGCGACCACTGCCATGCTTTGGCCGCTTCGTTAGGCCGCCGCCCGAGCTGCTTCCTGCTCCTCCGCCCGCCGCCGCACCGCCGCCTCGTTTCCTGCCACGGGGCGAGGCGTTGCCCGCAGCACGCGCAGCAGCACTCTCTGACTGCGTCCCGGCCGCTGCGGCCGCCTGCTCCTGCTTCAGCAGGTCGTCCAACTGCGACCTCACCCCCGGGCTATCGTCTAGATCTGCCTTGAGAAACCGAATGGCCGCTGACTTGTTCAGCCGGTTGGTGGGCGGCTCAGCAACTGGCGGCTTCTCGGCCGCGTCAATCTTGCCCATGTACTGGCGCACGCGCTGCAGCTCGCGAAACACGGCATGGTTGCGGGCATCGACACCCGCGAGGCCCAGGCTGCAGTACAGCGTCGATTCGAGCGCAAAGCTGGCGAGGACGTGCAGCTTGGCCTTGTCGAGCAGCGGGAGGTGCATAGCGGCGGCCGCGTGGCTGTTGGTCGACGAGGACGAGCTGCTGGCGTCGTTGAGGAGGAGGGGCGCGACAGCCGCCTTAAGACGGTCAATGTCGGCCGCCAGCTGGCGAATGCGCGGCTGTATGTCGTCCATGATTCTCAGGTGTGCAAGTGGTTGGCGACAAAGAAGCTATACAACGTAGGAATGCCTGTCGGCAAACGGAATACTAAGTCCAAAATACATGGTCGTCAAAGACGCTCATTTTTTAATGGGTCAGATCCGGCGCGGGTCCACTTTGAAAATAATGGCCAATCACAACACACACATTGAATCCGTCTACTAAGGAAAGCGCGACCCGATGCGCCTGCTTTTGGGAACGCTAAGAAAAAAAACGTTATTCTCACAAGCCGAAGATCAAAGAAGAGCGACTAAGCAAAAGAAAACGCTCCGTAGGAATTTCGTGAACAACAAACAACGCCCCCCATATCCCACCACTCCTACCACCACCACGAAACAACTACCGGCGACGACGACGGTGGCGACAAATCGAGTGCGGTTTGACGGCTGTAGTACGAGAGACTGCAGCGCTACCAGACGAGTCCGCGTGCAAATTAAGACCCCATCTGGGTGCGGCCGTCTATACCATCGACATCAACGGCACTCGGATCAAGCGTCTCCCCGGCCGAGCTCACGGCAACAGGTGTTTGCAACAGAGCCGCCTCTGGCTGTCTCTCCCCGCTGAGCGGATACCGTTGTCTGAGCAGGAGCTCGTCTCCAGCATACAACACACCACGCCACATCGTCGTTACGTTTCATGGCATTGCGGTAGCGCGGCACAAATGGGTAGCATGGCCCTCTTGGCTGGCGCCCGCAGTGCCGGGATACATGCAGCGCCCGCACGGGCCGTCCTTTTGCGGCTCCGGTCCTCATGCGGTGCCGCATCGGCTGTTGCGGCATCGCGGCATGCCTCTTCACACTCCCCACTACCCTTCACGGAAACATCGTCCTCGCTCCCTTCCGACTACCACCTCCCTTTCGGAAACCCGTCTCTGCTCATTCCCACTCTCTCAAAGCATGAGCCCACAATATTGGCGTCGCCCCGGGCATCCGCGGCGTCAGCGACGGCACAACAGAACGCAACCCGGGTGCCCTCCACACCAGACGCGCCGACACCTAGCGAGCCCTCTCAACGAGCCCCTCAAAATACGTCCCAGCGACCTCCAGCAAGGCCCTTCTCAAACCCTTTGACTTCTTCGCCAAAGGTACCGAAACCGACACAGCCCATCTCGAAGACGATATTAAGCGCAGGTAGAAGACTAGGCAGAGAGTCGGATGCCGAGCCGGACCACCACCGGCTGGAGCCAACACCGATTCGCCAAAGTAGCCCGCCACCGCCATTGACAGAGGTAGAGGAAGATCCAGACGATTATTTCAGGATACTACCCGAAGAAGACGACCAGACACGCGCTGCGCCTGCGACGGAAACACGCCCAACCCCCCGCGAGCCGATTCACGTGCTCGGCGGCAACATTCAGGCCACATACCTGGCACACATGCTCGCCGGTCTTCCCAGCAACCCTGAGGTGCACATAGTGCACCTCGGCTACCATCAGGCGCGGAAATGGGACAGTGAGGGTGAGCGGGTGGAGGTCCTGCGCGGCAACAAGGCCTTGCCACACAACCCAGTCATTGGCGAGTACGCCGGGCCGAATCGCCGACCGTCACGGAGCAGCAATGTTGTTCGGCCGCGGTCCTTTGACACTGTCCATCGGCCCATTGAGAACCTCATTGTCACAATGACGTGTGCCGCTTCGATCGGGGCCTTGGAACAGCTTGCGCCTCGCATTAACAGCCGGACAACAATCTGCCTCCTGCAGCCGGGTCTGGGCGTGGTCGAGCGGATCAACGAACTGTGCTTCCCATACATCCCGGACCGACCCTCGTACATCCTGGGGCACATGACACACCTGCTTGGCTACACCGAAAACGCCTTTTCCGTTGTAGAGAATGTGCCCGGCAGGGTGGTCCTGACACACTATACGCCGCCCGACCAGCTAGTTGAGGAGGGCGGCGAGCTTGTCGCTGGAGACCGCCGCGCCATCGCTGCTAGCGACGATGACGACTTTGACAGCATCATTGCTGATGGCGAAATCGGTGCCGACGGCAACAGTGTTAGCAGCAGCAGCAGGAACAGCAAAAGTCCGCCAACGTTCGTACCTGAACTACCTCCCGCCCCAAAAAGGAAACGGGAGGGCACAGACGGCGATCAGAGCTTGGAACTAGAATACAGCACCGGTATGCGCCTCATGTATTTGCTGAACGTCACGCCCGAGCTCGGCGCAGGGGGGTACTCGACCGCCGCGTTTTTGCGATACAAGCTACCCGAGTTGGTGTACGCCGCCGCCGTTGAGCCAGTACAGACTGTCCTGGACCTACCCATGGGAAATGCATTGTGGTCCAATGGGCCTGCGTGGTCCATGGTGGAGGATCTGGTCCGGGAAATGATCAGTGTCATCTTGCAGATGCCCGAGACGCGCGCGTCGCCCAAGCTCGCCGAGTATGTGCGCAGTGGCGCGTTTGAACGGAAGGTGTTTCGGCTGTCCTACCGCAAGAGCGAAGGCCGCACCAGGCGCCCCGGCCCCGGTGGAAACAATCACTCTGACGACGGCGACGCGTACCGCGGCAGCGGGCCCCAGTCTGCCCAAAGCGACAGCGGCGGCTACTGCCTCATGGCACGACGCGTGGCTTTGGGACAGGGCACCGACATTGAGTTTCTCAACGGCTACTTTGTGCGACGCGGGAAAGCTCTCGGAGTAGCCTGCCCGCACAACGAGATGATTATCAAGATGGTGCGGGCAAAACAGCGCAGCCGCGTAGCGCGGCCGTCGGCACTGCAAATTGATCCAAGCGACCCAGACCAAGAGTCGCACATTCCATTTGTCCCGCCGTCGGGGCCGTACGTCTCGGCATCCGGGAAGTTTCCGAAGCCAGAGAAGCGAAAGAAGCATGCCGGCAAGCAAGCTTCCAAGCATGCAGACAACGACCAGGCTTAGGGCGACAGAAGACGGCGCAAACACCGGGGTTGTTATTAGGCCTCCATAACGATGATGATGCACATAGAACATAGAGAGCAGCGGTGGCAGGCCGGTGGCAGCATTACAAGGCAGGCGTTTTATTTGAATAATCTGAACTTCGGTTCTTTTGGATCTCTTTTGTCTCGACAATGCGGACTATTGTCGCGCTTTTGCGGCAGCGTTTTCACCATGTACTTTATTTATACACATCTTATCAATGTACATACAAATAATATACTTAGACACCTTATCCAATGCCACTACATCCTTGTTCTTTGCGGAGTCCATGCCTCTCAATGCCAATATCAAAATGTGACGTACAGTGAGCTCCCGTCTTACAAAAAAGAGTGGGTCCACGGCCGCAAGGCTCCAGGGCACGCGGACAGGCACACAGGCCCTAAAACTCTACCCCGCTAGATTCAAGCTTGCATCGCGACATTCGCTTCTCGACTTCTCCTCTTGCAACCCATACCACACGACACCCACCCACACTGACACCATGGATGACGACGACTTGAAGAGGGTATGGTTTCCCGTTCCGTTTCTTCCTTATTCTCGCTGAGAGCCTCGACAAGACATACCCATCCGCCCTAACACGTCGTCTAGATTCGCGAAGAACGTCTGCGCCAGCTCAAGCAGCAAGCCGGCAATGGCGGTGGCGGTGGTGGTGGCGGCGGCTCGTCGGAAGAGCAGCGCCAGAAGCAGCAGCAACAGCAGTAAGTTGTGTCCTTGGATTGCATTGTGTGCAGACAAAGCAACAGAACGAACGGCTGTACTGACAACCACAAAGGAAGGGTACGTTTTAGTCAGCACCGATATTACGACCACGACAAACGACCATGGTTTCTTGGATCGCTCCATTTCCTCGCTCCTCCCTTGTCACTCCACGTTCGCGTCTCCCTTGCCATACTAATCCCTTCCCATAGAAGCTCGCCAGAACCTCCTCAACCAGATCCTCGAACCCGACGCGGCCGATCGCCTTGCCCGCATCCGCCTCGTCAAGGAGGAGCGCGCTTCTGCCGTCGAAGACCGTCTGCTGATGCTCGCCCAGTCCGGTCAGCTGCGCGGCAAGGTCTCGGAAGACCAGCTCAAGGACATGCTGACACGCCTGTCGGCCGCCGAAGACGCGAAGCGCGGCACGAGCAGCTCGGCTGGGCGCATTGTGGTCGACCGCCGCACCAAGGGCGGCTTTGACGACGATGACCTGGATCTGGACATTTGAGAGCGGGGATACGCAAGACGAATAAAACACAAAAAAGAAGCATTATGTTATGATACCAACAATGAAACTGCCATCCATTGAAACGCTCCACAAATGTTTATGGCACGTTTTTGCCACGTGCAATCGCACAGAGCAACCCTTCTCCCTTTTTGTCTATGAATTCCGAATCAGCTCCAGCAGACCCCCAATTTTCTCACTCCACGAGAGACCGTAGCCAAATGTAATCAGGCCTTTGACAAACGACCAGCCGCCGTTCTGGCTGCGCACAGGGTACTGCACGACAGGCGGCAGGCCCGTGCGGATGCCGAACCAGCCGAACCGGTCCGCGCACACGCTCTTGGCATTGCACAGCGACTGCAGGCCCTCGCTGCCCGCAAACCGCCCGTACCCAGACCCGCCCACGCCGCCAAACGGCAGCTGTACCGCGTAGTATGTCGCAAAGTCGTTGATCGCCACCATGCCAGCCTTGACGCCCTTGACCACCTTGTCCATCTCGCCGGCCTCGGCGCCGTGCTCGTTGCCAAACACGGACGCGCCCAGGCCAAATGGCGCAGCGTTGGCAATCGCCAGCACAGCCTCGGCCGTGCTCGCCTCGGCGCGCATCATGCAGAGGATGGGGCCAAAGCATTCCTCCTGCGCAATGGCCATGCCCGGGGTAACGTCGGCCAGCAGCGTCGGCGTAAAGTAGTGGCCGTGCGGGAAGCGAGGATGCGTGTAACGGCGTCCGCCCGCAAGCAGCCGCGCGCCCTGCTTGACGGCGTCGTCGATCAGACGCTCGAGACGGTCAAAGTTGGCGTCCGAGATCATGGCACCCACATCGTACTTGTTCGCGTCGTCCGTCTCGGCGTCGTCCCCGTCGTCGTCCTGGAACCCGATACGCAGAGCCCTGACCTTGTCCATCACCAGAGCCAGGAGCGGCTCGTACACACCCGGCGCCGCGATCACGCGCTCGATGCCAATGCAGTTCTGTCCGCTCGATTGGAACGTGCCGCGCAGCATGGTCGCCGCGACCGCGGGCAGACGCTTAGCACCGACCGAGTCCAGGACAATAAAAGGGTCCTTGCCGCCCAGCTCCGCGCACACGGGCGTCAGCGCCTGTGCAGCCGATGTGGCCACGTGCCGTGCTACGGCCTGCGAGCCAATAAACGTAACGTGGGCGATATCCGGGTGCTTCGTCAGGTGGTTCGCAGTCGCCGGCCAGCACACGACGGCCTGCACAAGAGCCGGGTCGTAGCCGTGCGCGACAAGAGCGCCGCGCATCAGCGCCGTAAAGTACTGCGTGCTCCAGGCCGTCTGTTCGGAGGCCTTGACGACAATGGCATTGCCCGCAAACAGCGCCGACACCATGGGTGCCAGCAGGTTGTGGAACGGGTAGTTCCAGCTGACAAGCGCGGCCACCACGCCCAGAGGCTCGTACACGACCGCGTTGCGCTTGTGCGGCATCAGGAGTGCGTTGGTCGGGCGCGACGACGGCCGCAGCGCCTTCTCGCCGTGCTTGAGCGTCCATTGAATCCGCTCCGCGACAACGAGCACCTCGCCGAGCGCAGCGTCGAGCGGCAGTTTGCCAGAGTCCAGGCACGCAACGCGGCAGATGTCCTTTTGGTTGTCGAGCACATGTTGCAACAACGAACGAAGCACCCGGCGCCGGTCGCGGAACGACGTCGTACTCGCCCAGACAGTCTGCGCGGCCTTGGCCGACGCGACAGCGCGGTCAATGGCCGCGGGCGTGGACGGGTTGACGAGGCCGAGGAACTGGCCTGTGGCGGGCGCGTAGCACTGAATCGCAGACAATCCGGACACCTTGATGCTCGGCGAGCTCAAGTACCGCTTCTCCTCAGGCAGCTTGGGTAACGGCACCTTGTAGCGTCTCGGCCGGTCGGAGTTTCTGTTGGCACAAATGATGACGATCACTGCGCCAACAGCGACAAAAGTCCACGACCATGCCCGCAGTAAAGGAATCAGTCTAGATGGCTGTCAGTACGGCAAAACACCATGTCAAATCAAAGAGAGGATTCAGGTTGCATTGGCGGATCGTATAAAACATACTCCTCAATGGCAGCGTCCACATGCAGCAGCCAGGCTGAAACCGCTTGCAAAACCATGATAAAGGATTGAAAAGAATATAAACAGTGCGAAGTCAAGAAAATATGCGCAAGGGGCGATCGAGCTCTCTCCAACGCAATGACTCGTCGTGCTTGGTTGAAAGCTGGCGAGAGAGCTTGACAGAAGTGCTGGAAGAAAAGGGGGCTAATGCTTCCGGCGTGGTAAAAAAGCGGGTCAAAAGTACCATTGACCAATTGCGTGGGTCGCTCCTGGTTCCTTTGGAGAAAACATCAGACGATAAACAATAACGTCGGGATGGATGGCCAAGGGCAAGAGCATGGCGTGTGTTGCTGAATATGAAGAAGGAGCTTTGCATTTGTGGTTTGAGTGTTCAGTGGTAGAGGGACTGAAAGACTAAAACCCGCAACAACAAAAAAAAAAAAAAAAAACAATAATACAGAAACGTATAAAAATAAATACACAACATTTGGACCTCACCAAGAGCAGATAGGCAAAGGGTTGCTGATAGAAAAAGACATACATCACATAAACACTATCTAATAATATGAAAGCTTTCTTTTATTGTTCTTCATTTTCTTTGTATCTCCACGGCGCTGGATGGTCTCGCTTCAATATAAACCGCCCCTGACATATTCTCTGTTCCTTTTTTGATGCCAGAGAAACGGGAGAGTAGATCTCCGGTGTGGAAAGGTATCACAAAATATGGCGAAGCAGTAGCCAAGAAAAATATAAAAAAGAAAAAAAGAAAAAAAAGGTGACACGAGTGCCACTGGGCAACAAAGCAAAAAACACGCAGCAAAATGTAGCAATAGAGACAACAAAAAACAAGACTTCATGAGAAAGTTTAAAGATGGGAAAGAATTAATATTGAAACCCTCAAGAACACAAGAGTCGATTACCGGAAGCGCGCGCGGCAGCGGCCCATAACCTCGCCTTGGCACACCAGCTCGGCACTGAATTCAGAGCCGTCGAGAGTCAGGTAAATGTCAAAGTACACGCGGTAGAACGTGCCCTGTGGCGTGTCCATGCGTTCAAAGTCTTTCTCCAGGTTTTTGCGCGACAGGTCGGAGGTAAGGGTGACGACTTCCTTGATTCCTGGGAACGGTTAGCATTGTACAGACACGACAGAAGGACTCGAATCGATCGAATGGAAAGGGACAATACGTACTTGGGTCCTTGGTGTACTCCGGGCAGACATCATCGTCGCAGGCGTACAAAATGTCCTCGTACATGAGCGTGGCGCCCGGGGCGACCTGCCGGAAGAAAGACACCTTGACGGGCTCGCCAATCTTGACCTTCTGGCCCTTCTGCACGAAAATCTGGCGCGTGAACTTGCAGCGATCTTTTCCGTCGAGCGACGGCACACGGTACGCCTCTGGGTGGTAGCCCTCCTTGAAGGGCTGGAGCGTGGCCATGAGGTAGTGGCGACGAGCGATACGGTGAGTGATGATGCGTTCGGTGATACCTGCAGTAACGGCACCCTTGACAATGGCAGCCACAGAGTCCATGGGACGCACGACCTTGGACTGGAACTGGGGAGGGACGTGCAACTTGATCTGCTGGAAGAGGAACTCGGAGGCACCGAAACCTCCGACAACCAGGATGTTCTGCAGCGTGCGGTTCTGGGCCTGGATGGCAATGATCTGATTGCGCACCAGCTCGAGAATGCGGTTGACAACCGGCTCGAAACATTGCAGAATCTCCTCGTTCGTGAAGGTCATGTAGCCCTCTTCGATGCCGGCCTCGGGGAACTCGGCCTCGATACCGACGTCGACAGCCCACTTCTGCCCGTTGTTACGGAAATCGGCCTTGATACGGTTCTCAAAGTCCATGATGCACTTGGCGTACACACGGCCAGCCATCTTGGAGCCGTCGGGCAGCTTCATCTTGCGGATCTTGGTGCGCAGAATGTTGCTGAAATTCCGGTTCAGGGCGGTCGAACCGCACGAGTCTCCGGAACCAGCCGTGCACTCGGCGACCGTGAAGGGATTCTCCTCCTCGACCTCGTAGGCGATCAAATCGACAGTACCACCGCCACAATCCACAATCAGGAGGGCGTCGTGTACCTTGAGCTTCAGCAGACCCGTCTTGGAACAGAAGAGGGCGGCGGCCTCGGGCTCGGACACCAGAGTCAGGCGGTTGTCGTTCTCGTCGCGCAGGAAACCGGCCTGGATGGCGGCGGCACGGGTAGCGGCCTTGCCAGCGTCGTTCCAAATGGCGGGTACGGTGAGGTAATAGCGAATGTTGCGCTCCTCACGGTTGAACACTTCACCGAGCGTCTTCTGCAGCGCGGCGCGCATGGCCTGGCGCAGCTTGAAGAGGTAGTCGGCAGCGACGTCGATCTCAGACTTGCCTGGCGGCAGAGGCGGCAGGTTGATGGGGTCGATGTATGTGTTGCCGGACAGCATCAGCTGCAACTTGAACCACTCGACCTTCTGCACACCCGCCTTGGGGTAACCCGTGGGCGCGAGGGCATCAGCGATATCGGGACCCCAGCCGACAACCTTTTGGTACTGATCATAGTACAGAACTGTGGGGATCTATAGAAAGCGATTGCTTGTTAGCAATAATTTTCTTGGTTGTCTACGGAGTCGTGCGTGGGCCTTTGGACGAGGTGTTTCTCACCTTTTGCTTCGTGTAGGAACCAGCACCGGGCCATTCTGTGATAATATCCTCCTTCGCCTCGTTGTTGGTAGCAAAGGCAAAAGCAACACCCGAAAACGTGGTACCCTAAGTGTGTTAGCCAAAGCCCCCCCGTGGATACGTCACATACTCCATGCACAAACTGAAGACAAGAGAGGGCCACATACAAAGTCAATACCGACAATCAGCTGAGCCTTACTCCGGCTGCTGCCCTCGACTTCGGCCGCAGGACGGCCGTACCCGGCCGCAACCGGCTGCGGTTGCGGGGGGACCTGGGCGTAGCCCTGGGGTTG